CCCCCCCCCCCACACACACAAATATTACTATTACTATTATATTATATGAGCTCGCTGCTAATGGTTGTCGTTGGGGTTTGAACCCACGCAAAGATTTGAGATACGCAACTGCCTGCTCTGATACCACTCAGGTGAGTTGGGTCCCAGTATGGTTTTGGGGATTGCGTTTTTATGAAGTGTATCTGACGTCAGAGAACTGGCAGGTATCTAGACACACACACATACACACGTATATGGTTTTGGGGACTTCTTTTTTATGAAGGGGCACACACACACATACACACAGACACACTGACGGATACTAGACACACACACACACACATGTGACACACACACATATACACACAAATACGCATACTCACGCACACACATACACACACGCCCCACCTACCGTGGTGGTGACCGATTTGAATACTAATGAGCAACTATTCACACAACCGAGGCTAAACCGAGCAACTATTCACAGTGACCCATCGTGGTGGTGACCAATTTGAATACTAATGAGCATGTGGCCCATGCGCACGACAAACCTAACCAATTGAAATCATCGGGTTCACGGATAGGCTCGTCGATTGGCAAGGTCAATGATTATCGATCTATCTACCACGCGACGCAATAATGCGCGCTCACAGTTACTCACACCCCACTCATCCCCAAATCTTGCTACAACTAAGGTTGTTGGGGTGCGCATTCAAACGAGAGTTGACGTATCAATCATTTTTCCTCGCGCCGTCATGGTCACACCCTTTGCAACCTACAAAAACAACGACAAATACCTTTGTAAGGGTATTTGCCACAACAACGATTGCTCCCATCTATTGGTGGGGAGCTGCACCTGCTGGAAACTGGGTCCAGTGTCCCTTCGATATTTACAGATCATGAGTTTACGATTCCAGAGGCCATCATTGATTGTCTTTCTCAAAGGGGATTGACAGTCCTCTTTCCACAACTAGATTTGTCGTGAACAAGGTGTAACCTCTGTCCCAGTGTTCAAACGTTGAAGAGTTGCCCTCCTTACAACCACATCTGAAATTGAGGGATAAGAGCCCATTGCCATGTGGCGTGATCATTTTGTGTGGAAGCCCCTTGAGCTAACCATGACGCCCCACAAGAGTCTGAGCATAGAGTGTGCCTTTACCGAACTACCATGGCCTGTCTTTAATGCCCCCCCACCAAAACCCAAGCAGGATATGCCCTCAGTACGCCCTGTTGGCGCAGCCATACTCAAATGTTATGTTGTTTCCCTCTTTATGTATGGTCTATAGTCTGTATCTGGTCAATGGTCTATTAGTCTATATTTGGTCTATAGTCTGCCGTACTTGTGCCTTTTCCCAATGTGTATGTAGTT